GTTCTTTTTTTATTAATTGGCTTCAGTGATTTCATCTCTTAATTTTTATGTGTTCTATTTATTTTTTATGATTCTGCTTTGTCTCCTTTGTTGGCTCATTAGCCAGAACTCTTTGTTTTGTTATTTTAGTGGTTGCTTTAGGGTTTATAATAATTGTCTTTAATTACAGATACCTTCAAATGACATTATCCAACTTCACATAGAGTATAAAGACCTTCCAATAAGTCACTTCCATTTCTCCTACTGGACCTTGTGCTATTGTTGCCATACATTTTACTTTTGTATGTTATAGACTCACACTGTGTTGTTAGGGTATTTTTTTCATTTAAATGGTCAATTTTTAAAATTAAAATTTAGAAAATTAAATAGTAAAAAAGGATCTTGTATATTTACTGTGTAGTCACCATTTCCAGTGCTGTCTTTTCCCTTGTATAGATCTCTGTTTCCATCTGGTGTCATTTTCTTTTTGCTTGAAATAATTCCTTTAGCATTTCTTATAGTGCAAGTCTACTGGTCACAAATTCTTTCAGCCTTTGTTTGAATGAAAAATTATTCTACCTTTGATTTTGAAAGATATTTTTGCTGGGTACAGAATTCTAGGTTGATTTTTTTTTTCCCCTCAATACTTTAAAGATGTTTCATTCTCTTCTCACTTGTATTATTTTGGATGAAAAATCTAATGCCATTTTTGTCTTTGTTCCTTGTGTGTAACATATCTTTTTTCTCTTGCTACTTTTTTTTTTTTTTTTTTTTTTTGACACAGAGTCTCGCTCTGTCGCCCAGGCTGGAGTGCAGTGGCCGGATCTCAGCTCACTGCAAGCTCCGCCTCCCGGGTTTACGCCATTCTCCTGCCTCAGCCTCCCGAGTTGCTGGGACTACAGGTGCCCGCCACCTCGCCTGGCTAGTTTTTTGTATTTTTTAGTAGAGACAGGGTTTCACCGTGTTAGCCAGGATGGTCTTGATCTCCTGACCTCGTGATCCGCCCGTCTCGGCCTCCCAAAGTGCTGGGATTACAGGCTTGAGCCACCGCGCCCGGCCTTCTCTTGCTCCTTTAAAGATTTTCTCTTTTTATTGGTTTTGATCAATTTGATTATGCTGTAATTTGGTATAGTTTTAAAAAATGTGTCTTCTGCTTGGGGTTCATTTACTTGGTTCTGTGAGTTTATATTTATTAAATTTGGAAAAATTTTGACCATTATTCCTTCAAATATTTTTTTCTATCTCATTCCTCCTCGTTTTGGGACTTGAATTACATTCATATGTGACCTTTGAAGTTGTCCAACAGTTCACTGATGATCTATTATTATTTCTGAATCGTTGGGATAGTTTCAGTTGCTGTCTTCAAGTTTACTGTTCTTTTCTTCTGAATTATCAAATCTGAGGTTAATCTCATGCAGTATATTTTTTCATCTCAGACGCTGTAATTTTCATCTCTAAATCAGGTCGGGACTTTTAGTTTCTTCATTGTCTCTAGTTAACTTTTTGAACACGTGGGAATCAGTTATAACAACTGTCTTAATGTCCCTGATCATCTTTGTCAAGTCTGGGTTGATTTTGATTGATTGCTTTTCCTTTTAGTCATGGGTCATATTTTCTTCGTTCTTTGCAAGATTGGTAATTTTTTTTTGCTCATGTTGCCCAGGCTGGAGTGCAACAGCACGATCTCAGCTCACCACAATCTCCGTCTCCCGGGTTCAAGCGATTCTTCTGCCTCAGGGCCTGTTTTCCTCCTCCAAGGGCCTGTTTTCAGCCAACAGTGAGATGATCCATGCACTGAATACTGCATTCTGCTGCGGTTGCTGCATCCAACTTTTGATGGATGGTGACATGCTATTCCATGCCTGGGATTACAGGCATGCACCACCACGCCTGGCTAATTGTGTATTTTTAGTAGAGACGGGGTTTCTCCATGTTGGTCAGGCTGGTCTCGAACTCCCGACCTCAGGTGATCCACCCACCTCGGCCTCCCAAAGTGCTGGGATTACAGGCGTGAGCCACGGCACCTGGCCAAACTTGGTAATTTTTTAATTGGGTACCTGACATAGTGAATTTCACCTTGCTGGGGGCTATTTTTATATTACTGTAAATATTTTTTGTTGTTCTGTGATGCAGTTTAGTTACTTAGAAACAGTTTATTCCTTTGGGTCTTATTTTTTAAGGTGTTAGGCAGGACCAGAGCTGTGTTTAGTCTAGAGTTAACTGCTGTTCACATGGAGGCAAGACACTTTTGGGTATTCTACTCGATACTTTGTGAATTGTGAGCGCTCCTGCTACTCCAGCCTTCTGGAGAGCTCCTGCCACTGCTCCCTGGAATCCTTCAGGTGCTTCTTTCCCGGCCTTAGGTCATCTCCCCACGGGCATGTGTTGATCAGTTCTCGGCTGAATCCCTGAGACCCTCCCCAGATCTCCAGAGTTCTCTCTCTTCTCTGCCTCCTGCTCTCTGAACCCTAACTGCTTTGCTTCCATCCGAGTTCCCTGTCCCTGTTCCATGACTTGAAACTTTCCTCAAGGCAGTGAGCTGAGGTAGTCGGGGGGCTCACCTTATTTATTTCCTGTCTCTTGGGGATCACTGTCCATTGTGGCCTGATGTCCAGTGTCATGGGAATCACTGTCGTTGGGAGTGGGGTACATTGGGTTCCTCTTACTCCATCTTGGCTGGAGTTAGAAGTCCTGGCAAGTGTTTGTTGCAGCACACTGTGTGTGAGGCACTGTTCTAGGCACTGGAGACTCATCAGTGAGTAACAGAAGACCCTTCCCTCAGGCAGGTATGTTCCGGTAGACCAGGAAGGGCGGGCAATGAATCCAAGCATGGCCACTAAAGTCTTCTCAGCCTTAGATAAGCCGTGCCACCGGGCTGAGCCTCAGATCCTGGACTCTTCATCACAGCCGGTGTTTACTGTGCACTGCCTGTTGCTGTGATTGCCGTTGTTTGCTCATTGGTTTGTTGAATCATGAGCAAGGGACCTTCCTACCCAGAAAACCTTTTAAAAAGAAGTGACAGTAGTACCACTTGTTGGTTAAATTTTGTTTTTAATTTTTGTATGATTAAGGCTTAACATTTTTCTTACACTGCAGAATTTCCTTCAGAGTTTAGTGCATTCATTTCTTGCCTGAGAAGGGTCATGCTTCCCCACTCGTAGTGAGTTTTCATATCCCTTCCTAAGAAAAACGAAAGTCAAGCCTCGGAGGGCAGAAAGGAGGGATGGCCACGGGTGAGAATGTCAGTTCGTGTGCTCTTTCTGGAAAGCCACTTGGCAGTATCTCATCAGAGCCTGGAAATACAGTTTGCACTTTTGACGTTGTAATTCCATTTCTAGCAAGCAGTGGGTCCTGAGGAAGTAATCCACAATCGGAGTGTTGTGCACCACAGTAGTGAGGGCAGCGCTGCATGGAGGTGGAGGATTAGGCATCGTCAGTGTCCAGCAGAAGACAAAGGAGTCAGTTAACAGGACGGTCTATATGCTGGAATAGCATGTCACCATCCATCAAAAGTTGGATGCAGCAACTGCAGCAGAATGCAGTATTCGGTACATGGATCATCTCAATGTTGGCTGAAAACAGGCCCTTGGAGGATGAGAATTAGAAGGAACTGTGTCCCACCTACAGTCATGTTTCCCCAAGGACATTTTCCCCACTTCTCTCCTTTCCCATTGATTCCAGTTTTCCTAGGATGAATGTGTATTGATTTCATATTTAACAAATTAAAGACAAAAGTTAAGCTTCCAGTGTTTTTGTAATCTACAGAAGGAATAGTCAATGTTTAAAGAATAGGACAAGTTTACAGAAAAGGATGGAATGCAATTTAAGACGTAAAAACATGGGCTTCTTTCCCTCATATACACAAAGTGTTCAAAACAGTCTGTTATACTTTATATTTTGAGCATAAGGAAATAAAGTAAAATAATTTTAAAGAGTCTTTAAAATAGAAGCTGCTTCCAGGGATGCTGGCTTACTCTGGTAATCCCAGCCACTCGGGAGGCTGAGGCTGGAGGATGGCTGGAGCCCTGGATTTGAGGCTGTCATAAGCTATGATTGCACCACTTCACTCCAGCCTGAGTGACAAAGCCAGACCCTGTCTCTGAAAATAAACAAAAAGTCAGAAGTTGCTGTGTATTGAGGCTTACAGAAGGGGACCTGGCTGATCAGAGAGGCGAAGTGACCTGTCCCTGGTTGAACAGCCATGAGGGGTGGAGTCAGGGTCTCCACTTTGTGAAAGCCGCGCCCCCTCCAGTGCAGACTGACTTATGCATTGCTGTAATTGATCTGCTGGTTCCGGAAGAGGTGGGAAGGGACGCCACCTGGATGGAAGAGCAGGGCCCAACTGTGACTGGCCTTGATGTAATTGCACTCTTCCAACCCTAAGACGTGGTCTGTGTCCCTGACTCTACAGAGTAGTGCACTGAGCTTCAGGGAAGACGAGGGCTTTGCAGGTCCCCAGCCGGCTGAGAGTTCGTCTGAGCCCATGGCTCCTATGGTTGCCGCTCTTGTTGCCCCGATCTCGGCCCACTGCAACCTCTGCCTCCCTGGTTCAAGTGATCCTCCTGCCTCAGCCTCCCGAATAGCTGGGATTACAGGTGTGCACTACCACACCCAGCTAATTTTTGTATTTTTAGTAGAGACGGGGTTTCGCCATGTTGGCCAGGCTGGTCTCAAACTCCTGACCTCAGGTAAACCACCTGCCTCGGCCACCCGAAGTGCTGGCATTATAGGCATGAGCCACTGTGCCTAGCCTCCTCTATCACTTTAATAATAATCCTAAAAAATAGTAACGTGCACCGTGCGTGTTGTCCAGCAGTACATGGCGGCCGCCGGCTGGACACAACGATTGGCGCACTTTCTCCTGTCTTCTGTTTCAGGACAATGTGTTGAACATCATTAACCAGATCATGGATGAGTGCATCCCCCAGGACCGTGCCCCCAGAGATTTCTGCGTCAAGTTCCCTGAGGAGATCCGGCACGACAACCTGGCCGGCCAGCTGTGGTTCGGTGCCGAGGTAGCGGGTGGCCGCCTGGGTTCGGAGGTCCTGATGTGGGTGGCGTCTAGCCATGTCCCTGCGAACCTTGTGCATGGGTGCCTGCGGGTGCCGGGACCTGGTGTCTCCTCCAAGAGCTCCGTGCACTCTGGGTTACATGGCGTGGTCTGAGCCTGGTAGGCGGTGCACCCTTGGAGGATCTGGGAAAGCCATGAACTAGTGCCCCCCAAACTGTATATACAAATGAAATTTCCCATGTGATGTTTATGCGGTTCTCAGGCCCCCAGACAGCCAGGACCCAAAAGTGGTTCTTAATGGCAGTAATGCCCACATCAGGAACAAGTGTTCCCCTCCTGCCCTGCAGCACAGGCAGCAGCGGGGGCTGGGGAGCTGTGCTGCAGCCCCACGCAGGCCACATCTGGCCTGTCATCTTCATCTTCATCTCCCAATGAGGAAACTGAGGCACCGAGAGGAAGGCGCCCTTCGAGGTGGCAGGAACAGTCTCCCCCAGGCCCCCACCATGTGGACCTCCCAGCCTCCTCTCCTCGCCGTGCTCCGGAGCCTGACCTCGGCCCCAACATCACCGCCCTCTCTATTGTCCCGTCCCCATCCTCCCCGCCTCCCCTCTCTAGGAATCCCTGGGGTGTGGAGTCTTCATCCCACGCCGCCCTGTCCCTGTGTCCACCCTGCCCACCCCACCTTCTGAGCCACTTGGTTGGGGTGTCCTCTGCCGAGGCTTGGGTTAGTTACGGGGGCCCGCGGGCAGGTTCTCTCTCCTCACCAGCCTCAGTTTCCACCTCTGTGGAGTGGGTCCTGGGGCAGTCATGGGATGGAGTGGGTTCTGTGCCTGGCTGGCCTGGCAGGGGCATGCATGCCCAGGGGCGGGCACAGCTCCTTGTGTGGTCCTGGTGCCCCAAGCTCAGAACCCACCCGTAGCATGGGCCTGGGAAATCAGTAGCTGTCTCATTCTGTCACCTGGGAAATGACTGCTTGTCCTGCGTCACTTGATCATCTCTGAGGGGACAGCAGGTGGATTGGTTCTATCCTAACCCTGGTGAGGCCCTGGACGAGCCTCCCTGTGACACCAGGTCCACCAGGGCCTGGACTCAGCCCCCGTGCCAGAGAGCAGCTTGGTGAGACTCCCAGTTGCGGAGCGCACACTGGGGACCTGCCTGGCAGTGCCCAGGGCAGATGTGGGTGGATTTGTGGGTACAGAGGAGCCTTCCTTACCTGCCCAGGAGCCCATGGACTCTCACACTGATGAGTCTCCGTTCTGGGGAAGGTTGTGTTTCTCTGGCCATGAGCAAGTTGACCGTAGTGTCTGCGGCTCCCTAGGCAGGCTGGGGGCCTCCGGCCCGGATCAGCCTGGCTGCTTCATCCCTGGGAGCACAGACCTGAATGTGGAGTCTGGAAGCTCCAAGCTCCCTGACCTTCATTCCTCTGGCCTGGAAGGGGAGGGGAAAAGAGTCACATGACCAGGGTTCCTCCTGCATTGAGCCCCCAGACCCAAGAGCCTCAGTCCACCCTCCCCTCCCTTCCCTTCTCCTGCCCTGCCCTCCCCTCCCCTTCCCTCTCCTCCCCTCCCCTTCCCTCTCCTCCCCTCCCCTCTCCTCCCCTGCCCTGCCCTCCCTGCTCCTGGGGCCCTGCGAGGACCCTGTGGGTCAGGTTGGGGGACATTGGTTATCGCCCTCACGATTGCTCTGAATGTAAGAAAAACCTCCTGCGGGGACCGGGAACACGAGCCGGCCTGTGCTCCAGGGTGAGAAGAGGGGCCCCGAGGTGCGAAGTCAGGTTCCCCGGTACGGCGGCCCCTGAGAGCCTGGCCCCCACTCCGGGCCCCTCTCTGAGCGCGTCCCCTCCCACAGTGCCTGGCCGCGGGCTCCATCATCATGAACCGGGAGCTGGAGAGCATGGCCATGCGCCCGCTGGCCAAGGAGCTGACGCGCAGCCTGGAGGACGTGCGGGGCGCCCTCCGCGACCAGGCGCTGCGGGACCTGAACACCTACACGGAGAAGATGAGGGAGGCGCTGAGGCACTTCGACGTCCTGTTCGCCGAGTTCGAGCTCAGGTACTGCGGTTGTGGGTCCACAGCCCTGGCTGTATGAGCTCGGGGACGGTTGTGCCACCTTTCCGGGCTCACCCTGATGCTTCAAGCTGGAAAATTCCGCAGAGGGAGGAGCCAGGCGGGTTCAGGGCCGCCTGTGGGTGGGGTTAAGCCCTGGAGAGCACAGGGTGGAGGTGATGGGGGACATCTTTCCAGGGAGTGGGCTGAGCGTAGAGGACGCAGGTGGGGATCTGGCCGCCATGGGCCTCCAGGGGAGGGGCTTTGGAGAGGCCCAAGGGGCCAGGAATGAATGATGCCTCTGGAATGAATGAGACCTCACAGGAGGTGAGAAGAAAACGGAGGCAGCCAGGCCGGTGCGGTGGCTCACGCCTGTAATCCTGGCACTTTGGAAGGCCGAGGCGGGCGGATCACCCGAGGTCAGGAGTTCAAGACCAGCCTGGCCAGCAAAGTGAAACCCCGTCTCTACTACAAATACAAAAATTAGCTGGGCATGGTGGCACACACTTGTAATCCCAGCTACTTGGGAGGCTGAGGCAGGAGAATCGCTTGAACCCGGGAGGCGAGGGTTGCAGTGAGCCGAAATAGGGCCATTGCACTCCAGCTTTGGCAACAAGAGCACAAAAGAAAAGGCCGGGCGCGGTGGCTCACGCCTGTAATCCCAGCACTTTGGGAGGCCGAGGCGGGTGGATCACGAGGTCAGAAGATCCAGACCATCCTGGCTAACACAGTGAAACCCCGTCTCTACTAAAAAATATACAAAAAATTAGCCAGGCGTGGTGATGGGTGCCTGTAGTCTCAGCTACTTGGGAGGCTGAGGCAGGAGAATCGCTTGAACCCAGGAGGCAGAGGGTGCAGTGAGCTGAGATCCAGCCACTGCATTCCAGCCTGGGCAACAGAGTGAGACTCCATCTCAAAACAACAACAACAACAACAACAAAACCCAAAAAACGGAGGCAGATGGTGTCTGTGGAGGTTCCAATTAATAAAAACTTTTCATCTTGTAATCTACTGGCCCCTAGAAGGAGATCAACTGATGCATTAAGGGCAGTCCTCTCCAGGAAGCGAGAGCACGGACAATCGAGTTTTATTTTATCTTCCCCAGATTTTCTAAATCAGTTTTCATAAGAAAAAGTTAGAGTTAGTGATTTATTTATTTATTTATTTATTTATTTATTTATTTTCTGAGATGGAGTCTCACTCTGTTGCCCAGGCTGGAGTGCAGTGGCGTGATCTCCCAAGTAGCTGGGATTACAGGTGGCCACCACCACGCCTGGCTAATTTTTTTGTGTTTTTAATAGAGACAGGGTTTTACCATGTTGGCCAGGCTGGTCTTGAACGACTGACCTCAAGTGATCTGCTGGCCTTGGCCTCCCAAAGTGCTGGGATTACAGGCATGAGATACCGCCCCTGGCCTAGAGTTAGTGATTTAGAAGAAAAGAAAGTGCTCTCATCTGGGGAAGGGTTGAACAAGCCATCACCTCTCACAGCCACTCGCAGGCCTCCTTCAAGCTGCTGTGCCCAGCCTGGGCTGGCTTCCGTGGCTGTGGAGGTCCACGTGGGGCTGTGGGTTGTTCACCCACCCATGCATACATTCATTCGTTTCTCTCTCGCCCATTAAGGCCGGTGCCAAAGTGGGGGCTGGTCCCGCACATGGGCAGCACTGGGTCCGGGGTGGTCAGGCTCCAGGGTGAGCCCTGGGAGCTGACACAACTGTCCCCCATGGACAGGGCTGGGGTTTCAAGGGAAGACCTATAGTAGGCCTGGCTGGCAGGAACTGTGTACTATGAAACTGCCGAAATGGGGTGGTGGTGTAGGGGGTATGTGTGTGTGTGTATTTTAAGAGACAAGTTCTTGCTTTGTCACCCAGCCTGGAGTGCAGTGGCACCATCACTGTTCACTGCAGCCTCCAACTCCTGGGCACAAGTGATCCTCCCACCTCAGCCTCCCAAGTAGCAGAGACTAGGTGCATGCCACCACCACACCCAACTTTTTCATTTTTTGTAGAGATGAGGTCTTGCTGTGTTGCCTCGAACTCCTGGGCTCAAGCAATCCTCCTGCCTCAGACTCCCAAAGTGCTAGGATTACAGGTGTGAGGCCCCCTGCCCCCACCTTGCCCAGTATTGCAGCTTTAATTGAAGATGCCCCACCCTCTGTTTTGGAGAGGCCCTGCCACGGCCCAGGTGTGGCCTAACAGGTCTCCCTGTGTTTGCAGCTACGTCTCGGCCATGGTGCCCGTGAAGTCTCCCAGGGAGTACTATGTGCAGCAGGAGGTCATCGTGCTCTTCTGCGAGACGGTGGAGAGGTGAGGACAGGGATGCTTCGGGGCTGGGGGCAGCATCTGGGGAGTCCCTGCCTCACTCCAGGCCTGGGGCAGAGGGCAGCTCTGGGGGAACCTGCTGTGTCTTGGGAGTGCCCCAGATGGAAGACACTAGCCATGTCTTCCCACATTACATCCGGCTTCTCCTCACAGGTGGGCAGAGGGTAGAGGCCGCCCCTGCCTTCACCTCTGCCCGGCCCCCTTCCACCGCCCCATGGTCACTTTTCTGTCGGCCGGAAGGGCAGATCCTGCAGGTGAAGTCACGTGTCAGAGGACAAAAGCTGGAAGCCTCGGGCGTGATGGGTTGGACATCCAAACCTTGTCACCTTCCTCACTCCCTCACTCCTTCACTCCTCACCTCCTCACCTCCTCACTCCTCACCTCCTCACTCCTACCTCTCCACTCCTCACCCTCCCTCACCTCCTCACTCCCTCACCTCCTCACTCCTTACCTCCTAACTCCTCACCTCCTAACTCCTCACCTCCATACCTCCTCACTCCTCACCTCCTCACTCCTCCACCTCCTAACTCCCTCACCTACATACCTAACTCCTCACCTCCTCACCTCCTCACTCCTCACCTCCTCACTCTCACCTCCTAACTCCTCACCTCCACACTCTCACCCTCACCTCACCTCCTAACCTCACCTCCTACCTCGTCTCCCACACCTCCTCACCCTCACCTCCCACACCTCCCACCCCACCTCACCCTCACCTCCTCACCTCCTCACCTCACCTCCTCACTCCTCACCTCCTAACCTCCTCACCTCCATACCTCCTCACCCTCACCTCACTCCTCACCTCCCTACCCTCACCTCCTAACTCACCTACATACCCCACTCCTCACCTCCACACCTTCACTCCTCACCTCCACACCTCCCTCACTCCTCACCTCTTCACCCTCACCTCCTCACCTCCTCACCTCACCTCCTCACTCCTCATCTCCTAACCTCACCTCCATACCTCCTCACCACCTCTCCCTCACCTCACCTCCTCACTCTCACCTCCACATACCTAACTCCTCACCTCCCCACCTCCTCACTCCTCACCTCCTCACCTCCTCACTCCTCACCTCCACACCTCCTCACTCCTCACCTCCTAACTCCTCACCTCCACACCTTCTCACCTCACCTCCACACCTCCTACTCCTCACCTCTTCACTCCTCACCTCCTCACCCTCATTCCACCTCCTGACTCCTCACCTTCTCACTCTTCACCTCACCTCCTCACCTCCTCAATCCTCACCTCCTCACCTCCTAACTCCTCACTTCCACACCTCCTCGCTCCTCACCTCCTCACTCCTCACCTCCACACTTCCCTCCTCGCCGCCTCACCTCCACACCTCCTCGCTCCTTACCTCCTAACTCCTCACCTCCTCACCTCACCTCCACACCTCGTCTCACCTTCTAACCCTCACCCACACCTCCGCCCCTCACCTTGTAACTCCTCACCTCCACACCTCCTCGCTCCTCACCTCCTAACTCCTCACCTCCACACCTCCTCGCCTCTACCTCCTAACTCCCTCACCTCCACACCTCCTCACTCCTCTCTACTCCTCACCCTCACTCCTCATTCCTACCTCCTGACCTCACCTTCTCACTCTTCACCCCTCACCTCCTCACCTCCTCACCCTCACCCCTCAGCCCTCACCCTCTACTTCCCTCACTCCTCACCTCCTTCTTCTTCACCTCCTCACCTCCTCTATCCCCACCTCCTCAATCCTCACATCCTCAGTCCTCATGTCCCTCACTCCTCACCTTCTTACCTTCCTCACTCCTCATTCTACCTCCTGACTCCCTCACCTCTCACTCTTCACCCCTCACCTCTCACCTCACCTCCTCACCCTCACTCTTCACCTCCTCACTCTCACCTTCACTTACCTTCTCACTCCTCACCTTCTCAGTCTTCACCTCCTCACCTCCTCTATCCTCACCTCCTCAATCCTCACATCCTCAGTCCTCACGTCCTCACTCCTCACCTCCTTACCTCCTCACTCCTTACCTCCTCACTCCTCACCTCGTCAGTCCTCAACTCCTTACTCCTCACCTCCTCACTCCTCAGCTCCTTACTCCTCACATTCTCACTCCTCACCTCCTCACCTCCTCAGTCCTCACATCCTCACTCCTCAATCCTCACTCCTCACCTCCCCAGGCCAGGATTGAGTTGTTGCTGGGTTTTAAGTCTGCTAAACAAGTGTTTCTTTTTTGGGGGGTGGGGACAGGGGGAAGCCATCAGTATTCTTACCAGGCTTTGTACAGTAATTTGGAGTCCGATTTTCTCAGTGGACTTTGGGGCTAAGATGTCGCCTTGTTGTTTCTCTTGTTCGAGTGGTACTATGGTGTTTGGAAGATTTGAAATGGACTAATATCACATTGTATGTTTGTTATTTTTAAAAAGCAAATTTTTACTATTTATGCTTTGAGAGATATTTCAAATTATCAGAAAATAAGATGACAGGAAATTCCTTTTATTTTGAAAAGTTGCGACGCCAGCAGGCCTGCTCACAAGGTCCAGGAAAAGCCCTCTGCAGGCCCCGGGCGGGGGAAATAAAGCTGGTTTCTCAGGGAAGTGTTGAATTGTTTGGGGCAGTGTTTTTGTTCTGTGTTCATTCTTGACACTGGAGTTGTTTCGGTTTCCTGGCTGAGCAGAGCTGTCCTCTGGGTTGCCTTACCTTTTTTGCTGGGCATCATAGCTGTCCTCACACATCCTCCCTGCCCCTGCCTCCTGGGTCAGAGGTGGGGACTGGCAGATGGAAAGGTCAAGCTGGAGCCACCTGCCGGGGCGTTCAGGGAAGTGCGTGGCCTTTTCCTGCAGCCCCAGCCCCTTGCACATATGAGGACTGGGGGTGGCATGTGTCACCTCTTGATGTGGCCACCGCGCGTGACTGCAGGTGCAGACTGAGCGCACTGCCCGTCCCTGCTGGGGTCTGACCTGTGGCTGCGGTGGACCAGCCCTCACGCTGTCCACTGTCCCTCTCTCCGGACAGGGCCCTCGACTTCGGGTACCTGACCCAGGACATGATTGATGACTATGAGCCTGCCCTCATGTTCAGCATCCCCAGACTGGCCATTGTGTGGTGAGTGCCTCCTGTGCCCAGGCCCTCTGCAGAAACCTGCGGGACGGGCAGGGCTGACGGTGCCAGGTCCCATGTGGGTGCTGTTCCATGGCGCCTCTACCGTACAGTGCTCGGCTGCCCCAGGTCAGTCACCAGGCAGGCCTGCTTTCGGCCCTCAGCAGACCAGGGACCACGTGTCCTGAGTGCCCCCTGTTCACCTTGCTGGTGAGAGAGGCTCTGTCACCCTAGATAGGGCGAGGTGGCGTAACACCCGGCCCCTGGCACTGGACAGGTGAGATCGACATGTGAGCTCATTAGTCACAGGAGACCATGAGGGTCACACAGGGCCATGCTCGGAACAGAGTGGCCTCACAGGAGCTGTGGGAGGCAGATTTGGTGGTAACAAGAGGACGAGGTGCCCCCTGGTCCCTCAGGAGGATGTGATTGGCTTGTTTGAATGATTTGGGGGCTGGCAGGGAGGTGAAGCTCATCAGGTTGAAGGGTAGGTGGGGGCAGTCGGTCTGGCTGTGGGAATACGTGTGTGGAGCCTTTCCTGCCAGCGGGGCCCATCTGGGAGATCAGGGAACTCAAGGCAGCCTGTAGGGCCCTGTGGGGCTCAAGGACGTGGAAACAGCACATGGAAGCTCAGGCCTGAAATCCACCGAGGCAGGATGCATGGGGTCACCCACTTGGCATCTCTGAGCTGCTTGGGGCCAAGGTCAGAACCCAGGGGTTCTGGGACTTGGCCCACGCTGCTCAGCCACACCCTGACTCTAGACGGGGATTCCCCGTGCCCCTGCCAGGCGGGTGGTCACGGGGGCAGAGCAGTGAGTGGGCCACAGAGAGCTTAATGGAGCTTGCAGCTGGCGGGGAGGGGGGAGGGTCCAGTGGGCAGCAGCCTGCAGGTGTGGGACTGGGCAGAGTAGGGGATGGGGATCCCTTGAGAGAGATGCCCTGTGGAGATGTGGACATCAGTGAAGTGGTCAGGGAGTGTGCGGTGGGCACAGAGGCCAGGACTGGCCCAGGCTCAGGTCGTGCTGAGGACCCCCAGGGAACCCCGGGGCACAGGCACACGTGGCAGCGTGCTGGGGTCGAACATGGATACCCCTCCCGTGGGAAATGGGGGTGCAGAGGTGGGAGCATGTGGGGCGGTGGCAGTGCAGTGGGCTGGGGCCGGCGGCAGGGCCTGTAGGGGACAGAGGTGCTTAACCCTGGGATGTGCCGAACACCCCTTGTTGGAGTGGGGAGCAATGGGGGCCGCTGCCGGGGCCAGTCCGGACTCCCCTGGGCCAGGCCGCCCACTCGCCTAGGTCCTGGGCGCCACCTCCTCAGGGAGGGCTCCAGCATGGTCTCTATCTGCCGGGCCCTGGCTCCCCAGAGTCCCCTCCAATAGCTCAGGGCCTGGCCTGTTTCCTGCACTGTTCTTCACCTGTCCTCACAGAGGTTGCGTCTTTCAAAGTTAGCAAACCAGAGAGAGCGAGCCTCACATTGCGCCAGAGGGAGGCTCGGAGGCAGGCTCGGATATCCTCCTCCCGTTAGAGTCGGGGAACTTCCCTTCACCTGAAGACCTCAAGGCTGGAGGGCGGGGTGTCCCCAGTGGCCTCCAAGGTGGCTTGAAGGGAAGTGTCCTGGTGGGGAGAGGCTACCTGGAAGCTACTACAGAGCACCCCTTCCCACGTACCACAGGATTTGCTGACATTGTTTTTCTTTACTAGACAAGTATCTCTCTGTGGCCAAACTCACTTTGAAGAAAATGACAGGCAATTTTGGTCCTTATTCTTCTCTTTGTTTAAAAAACAGAACAGCAAAGATCCGGTGAGCCGGCCTTTTCTCCGCCAGGGCGCAGGGCGCGGTGAGCCTTTCCCTCGGGTACAGGTGTCTCCTTGTCCCAAGGGCACTCACAGCAAATGAACAGCTCTGGTGTCCTTGTTAAAAGTTCTCCGTGCGTGCTTTGAGGTGTGGCACCAAGCCACCCGCCCACTCACACCCACTTACGCCCGTGTCAACGCACTGCTGAGGCCCTGGCTGGACTTCCTCTTAAAGGTCGGGCCTGGTGTGTGCCGATGACCCCAGGTGACCCTCCCCGCAGGCCGCACCCCAGGCACACTGTGTTTCTGGACTTTCACACTGAGTCTGCTGCCTGTGTTTGCCCGAGTACAGGCGACCACAGAACAGCAGCCGCTTCCCACCAGTATCATCTGTGTCCTGTTTGCCAACCTCAGTCCACCTGCCGGTGGCCAAACCTCTGCTCCTCCTTCTGTCCTGAGCTCTCATCCTGGGAGGCAAGGGGAGGCGGGGGGGTGGGGGACTGGGGAGGGGAGGCCAGGGGAGGGAGGTTGGGGGAGTTGTGGGGGCAGCTGGGGGAGGGAGGTGTGGGAGTGTGGGGGGTCAGGGAAGGGCAGCAAGGGAGGCCAGTGCTCGTCGGGAAGCTGAGGGAGGGAGGTGGGGGAGGGAAGCTGGGGCTCCTGTTGGCAGAGGCTTTGTCCCGTGGGTCCCCTCCTGGAGGCACTGGTGTAGGGTCCTCTCCAGCTCAGGACAGAGGGAGAGCCTGGAAAGGGAGTGAGGGACCCCCAGGAGGTGAAGGAGGGAGGAAGGATGAGCAGGCACAGGAGCCCAAAGCCGGAGTCCAGGGAGCAGGCCTGTCCAGGGGGGTGGCCAGCTGCGGGCCCCCCAGAGGCAGGCATTTAGCCACAGAGCCAGGCTGCGGATACGAGGAACCGTGGGGTGCACCAGGCTGCCACTGCAACCCCTCTGTGCGGCGAGCCTCCAGCAGGGCAAGTGAGTGCTGAGTGGGAGAGTGCTAAGCAGGCAGCTGTTCCTAAGGCCACCCCTCGGGGATACTCACCAGGGCCCTGCAGTCCTGCACCACCAGTGGCTCCCGGTCTTCTTCCTCGTCGTCCACAGCAACCGCTTTGAGCCTCACAGGCAGAAGCCACAGCTGCCCGGGGTGGGGCCCAGAACCTGCTCCTTCTTGTGTTCACTCAGCGAGCAAGTATTGAGTGCCTGCTGCATACCTCACCCTATGCTTGTAGCAGGGAGGTGGACAGGTGGGCTGACCACAGTGCTGTGGAATGTTCTGGATGCTGGAAGGGGAACTCAGTGCAGGGACCCCATGGGGTGGACAGGAGCTGGAGGCGTGAGGGAGAGGCTCGCCAGGGCAGCTGGCCCAGAGGTGGGAGCCGTGCAGGTGGCGGGAGGGGGGCACGTTGGTGCAGGTGGTGTGTGCTCAGGGGCGTGTCAGGGCTCGAGCAAGGACCAGGGGACACAGGAACTTCTGCAGCAATGAAGGCCCCTGTAGCCTGCATTCCTGGGCCCACACCCTCGCAGGATCCTGCCTCTGTGAAGTGGGCATCCTGGGACCCCCAGGTGACCCCCAGGGAACACTGAGAGCAGAGGGGAGGCGGGGGCGCTGAGCGGGACAGGAGCTGAGGGTGGAGCTCCTCTGTGGCTCTGCCCGTGACTCTGCTGCTGCCCAGGAGCCCCAGTCCCTTCTCCAGTACACCGTGTCACAGAACTGTGATGCCACATTGACCAAGCACGAGCTGCGGGCCAGGCTCCGGCCCCCTTCTGAGGGGCTTCCAGTGGCAAAGGCTCTGCTGGGGGTCAACAGCTGGAGGTGGCAGAACCAAGCCCAGCCAAGGGTCAGAGCCTGCTGCTCACCTGTGACACAAGAAAGCAGCAAACTCTAGCTCTGTGGCCGGCAGAGGAGGCCTGCCTGGGGCAGAGGCAGTGGTCAACCGAGGCCTTCAGGTTGGCACAGGGAGGTGGAGGGGAGGGCTGGGTGGGACCCTGCCCCCTGTTTAGGGTGTCCCCAGCCTGGCAGAGTCTGGCCTTACCAGGCAGTGAGGACAAAAACTGGGGGTCATCCCTGTGGGGACTTGCTCTGAGTCGTAGGGGAGGGGCCCCACTTGCCCTGAACCCCTCGGCCTGTCCCCTCCCTAAAACCTGCATCTAGTCAGTCCCTTCTGCCGGTGGAGACAAGCATCCTGGTGAGAGTGTCTCCATGAGGCTCAGACTCTTCGACAAATTGGTTTTACTTTTGGGGATTTATCTTAAAACAGTTTCTTTTTTTTTTTTTTAACTTTTTATGTATTTTTTTAAATTAAAAAATAGAGACAGGGTCTTGCTATGTTGTCCAGGCTCGTCTCGAGTTCCTGGGCTCTAGCAATCTGACTGCCTTGGCCTCCTAAAGTGCTAGGATTACAGGCGTGAGCTACCGTGCCCAGCCCCAGCCTTAAAACAGTTCCTTTAAAGGAAAAAATGAAATAAAACCTCTAGACCCAGTGGTCACTTCTCAGTCCCCATCAGCACAGAGCTGGCTGCTCCCCTCGCTGCGACTTCGCCCGCCCGCTGGTCTATACTCACAGCTCTGCTTCGGGTGCTTCCCAGACCGGAACTGTGCAGAACCCAGGCCCCTCTCCTCTACCCCTCCCTTCCTCCCCAGGCCCCTCCTTCCAGCCCATCCCAGAACATGTCCAGGAGCCACCGCCCCCATGGCCTGCGGGATGGTTGCCAGATCCTCTTCAGGGGCCCTCGCCCATCCACCTGTGTCAAAACAACGTGTCATCTCGGCCCTGCCGGAGCTCCCACTGTGATCCACCTGCACCCACACCCAGCCTCTCCCCAGTCCCCGCTCCCAGTGTGATCCACCTGCGCCCACACTCAGCCTCTCCCCAGTCCCCGTGCACCCGCTGCCCTGATCTCCACCACGCTGTCCCCTTTGCTCCAGGGTCCCTTTGGCTGTCCTATCCCTACTGCCTCACTGTCCCCTCCACTGCACTGTCCCCTTTTCCATGATGTTTCCTCCTCCATGCTGTCCCCTCTGCTCCAGTGTTCTCTTGGCCATTCCATCCTCTCCACCATGCTGTCCCCTTCACTGCACCGTCCCCTCCTCTATGCTGTCCCCTCCTCTATGCTGTCCCCTCCTCTATGCTGTCCCCTTCTCCCCTTCACTGCACCGTCCCTCCTCTATGCTGTCCCCTCCTCTATGCTGTCCCCTCCTCTATGCTGTCCCCTTCTCT